CTGCCCTGTTTCAAGGCACCATCGTCTCATGGAGATTTGGCCCGCCTTGATACCGTTTATCCATTTGACAAGCTCCACTTTTTGCTTTCTGCCTCCTGCTTCTGTCCTCTTGTCATCTTGTCCTCCTTCCCCCGTCCTCCCCCGTTTTCCGTCTGGAAGTAGACACGGATACCGGATACCCAACGAAACACAGATGTTTGAACGTCGGTTCAATTGAACACGGTTCCTCCTATAACGTAATCACATATCTTGACATGGGGCTTTTCGGCGTTCTGTTTCTTCTCTTTCCTCTTCCTCACTCCTCTTTCGCCTCCCCCTTTCGAGCTCCTCCGTCGTTCTTTTCACTCCTTGTATTATTCCCGTCTGGATGGAGGATGACATGTGGATGAGTGAATATGGATGATAGGACCGATGACCTGCATGCTGCTGATGTAAACGATGATCTTGACCATGATGATGATGATGCTGATGCTGATGCTGATGCTGATGATGATGATGATGATGATGATGATGATGATGATGATGCTGATGATGATGATGAGGATGAGGATGAGGATGAGGATGATGATGATTCCGATGATGCCGATGCTGATGATGCTGATGATGATGATGATGAGGAGGATGATGATGAGGAGGAGGAGGAGGAGGAGGAGGAGGAGGAGGAGAAGAGGGAGGACGGGGAGGAGCATGATGAGGGTGGCATCCTCCCACTTTGCTCTCCTCTGTTCTTCTCCCACACCATGTTCCTTCCCTGATCGATGCTAAATGTTCTAGGGGGCGTAAAGGGCGTAAGCTGCACTTAGCTGGGGGGTGAGCTCACACATCTAATGCTATGATATTTGTTCACGCGCCTGGGGTCTGGATCTGCGAGGCCTGCGAGTTCTTTCTTCTCGGCCAACCTGCAACCGGGCCCAGGACAGCGTCTTGGTTCTGAGTCCGTCAATGCCGCCAGGATTTATCGGGGGATTGCACATTAGGCGTTGAGTGCCGCCGAACGGCCAGCACGTCAGCAAGCCCAAGGGTAGTTAGTTTTACGTTCATTGACATCGTCATGTAGCTATTCCTATTCCTCTTCCTCCTTGCGCTCGAGGAGGCATGGAAGGCCGTCATGTGTAGCACCTCGTATCTCCAAGGGTGGGGAGTCGAGATGATGATGATTCTTCTGATGATGATGATGCTGATGATGATGGTGATGATGCTGATGATGATGACGTTGATGATGATGGTGATGCTGATGATGATGATGCTGCTGATGATGATGATGCTACTGCTGGTGATGATGACGACGACGACGATGATGATGATAATGATGATGCTGCTGATGATGATGCTACTGCTGCTGCTGATGATGACGACGACGATGATGATGCTGCTGATGATGATGATGCTGCTGACGACGACGACGATGATGTTGATGATGATGATGATGATGATGATGATGATGATGATGATGATGACATGATGATGATGATGATGATGATGATGATGATGATGATGATGATGATGATGATGATGATGATGATGGTGGTTGGTGGTGGTGGATGTGATGATGATGATGATGATGATGAGATGATGATGATGATGATGATGATGGGGAGGGGATGACGAGGAGGAGGAGGAGGAGGAGAGGAGGAGGAGGAGGAGGAGGAGGAGGAGGAGGAGGGAGGAGGAGGAGAGGAGGAGGAGGGAGGAGGAGGAGGAAGTGGAAGAGTAGCAGTAGGAGTAGGCATAGGAGTAGTAGTAGTAGTAGTAGTAGTAGTAGTAGTAGTAGTAGTAGTAGTAGTAGTAGTAGTAGTAGTAGTAGTAGTAGTAGTAGTAGTAGTAGTAGTAGTAGTAGTAGTAGTAGTAGTAGTAGTAGTAGTAGTAGTAGTAAGTAGTAGTAGTAGTAGTAGTAGTAGTAGTAGTAGTAGTAGTAGTAGTAGTATAGTAGTAGTAGTAGTAGTAGTAGTAGTAGTAGTAGTAGTAGTAGTAGTAGTAGTAGTAGTAGTAGTAGTAGGTAGGAGGAGGAGGAGGAGGAGGAGGAGGAGGAGGAGGAGGAGGAAGGCTGTTGTCTTCAATATGCGAGCAGCTCTCATGGAACTCGTTTGGGCCGTCTCGTTTCCGTCTTGGCCTCCCGTGAGGCAGTCTTCGGGGTCCCTCGGGGCCCTCGGGGGCCTTCTCGGGGCCCTCTTGCGCCGTCTTGGGGCTCTCTTGGGCCGACTTGGGGCCCTCGTGCTGGCACCCTCTCACAAGCCTGACCCACACCCCTCGCGCCCTCCCGCCGCCCAGGGGTGGAGAACTGCGCAGAGGGCAGGGCCCGCCCGCCCCCGCCCGTTCCCGCCCGCCCCCCCTGCTCCCCCGCCGCGTGGCGCCGAGGCCTCCAGGCACCGCGAGGCCTCGAGGCCTCGGCACGACCCGGGCTCCTCAGGCCGGCGGCTTCCTGGGCCGACCGTCGAGGCCCCCGCTCCGCCCCTCTCCTGCCCCGTCCTCCTCGTCACCCACCGCCCCTCGTCCTCGTCCTTCTCGTCCTCCTCGTCCTCCTCGTCCTCCTCGTCCTCCTCGTCCTCCTCGTCCTCCTCGTCCTCCCTCGTCCTCCCTCGTCCTCCCTCCCGCCCCGTCCTCCTCGTCCTCCTCGTCCTCCCTCTGGGCGCGAGGACCCGTCGCCAGCACCCTGCTCTGCCTGCCGGTGCTCGTGGCGCGCCCCGCGGCGGCCGCGGCCGCGGCCGCCGCCCCCGCCGCCGCTGCCGCGGCGCGCGCCTCGCCTCACTCCCGAGCCTCCGCCTCCTTTTCCCTCCCTCCTTTTCCCTCTCACTCCTCTTCCCTCTCCCTCCCTCTCCCTCTCTGCTGTTTTGTCAATTTGAACGTGGCGAGGCTCGTGGGCGGCAAGGCGGGGCGCACGCGCTGGTGAGGGGAGGGAGGGCAGCCGCGGCACCAACGTTTGTTGGCCGTCCTGCGGCACCACCTCAGACGGACCCCCGGGTCGGCATTGCCTTCTGGGGGGCCCGATGGTCTTGCTGCCTCCATCCTTTCTCTCTTTCCTCTCTTCTCCCTCTCCCTCCCTTGCAGTGCCCGCACTCGGGTCAAAGCCGCCTCCCTCCTCCCCCTCCTCCGCCGTCCTCAGCATGGTAATCGATACCCTTAAGCGGTAATGCAAGGGCGTGCTCCTCTTGTTCGTCTTCAGTCTCTGCCTCGTCATCCATCCCTGTTCTTTGTGACACCACCTCCCTGTCGCACGCCAGACTTTCGGCAGGGCGGGCCAGACACTTCACTGTAGACTCCTCCACCGTTCCTGATCTTGACGCTCGAAGCCTGCAACAGGTTCAAGGATACAGGGGCCACTCTCGAGCTGGGGCCTCCGCTTTTTATGCGCCGCGCACAGTCGCTTCAATGACGTCAGCAACAGTGTGCGGGGATGGAGCGCGGCTTTTTGTTCGAAGTGGGGCCTTCGCTTGAGATTGTACTCTGCAGGCCGAAGACTCGAGCAGGTGCGACAGCTGCACGGACGAAGGGCGGTTGCTATCGGAACATTCCGGGCGTTCGGTAGGGAGCTGTTAAGTTTGAGAGCCAGAGGCTTAACCTCGACAGTTTGAAGCATATCCCTACCCCTATGTTTGGCATCACCCTGCCTCGATAAGTACCGATCGCAAGGATTCCCTCAGTTTATGATGGCCTATCCTTAAGATTGTCATCGCTGTTTGCTTCCCCATCTCAGTGATAGGGATCAGTTCGAGGCTGGTTACAAACATGTGCTCGAGCTGCACGCACTGATGCCGGTTTCTCTTTCAACATATGGGGCTCTCACCTGAGGCTTCCTCGGCGCTCATTGCCATAAAGGGAGAAAGTTGTGCGAGAGTTACACAGGGGGCGGTCCTTGTAGAGGCTTCCGAGGTCGGGGCTTGTCGGGTAAGTCCAGTCTAGCCGGGGCATTTCGTCGTGGTGCCTCGCGACGTGGATGATGGGAGCGCGCGGCCCGTTTCAAATCGACCAGCTGCGCTAACATCGGGCATGAGCGTGAGCGTCTGGATGCCCTCGTGTTCTTCGTTGGTACGTAGCTTTGAGGGTTTTCAGTGGCCGTGATCCCACCTGGTCCCAAGCTTGCCGCGGCGCGCTCCATGCGGGTGGATTTGGTTGATACCAGTGCCAAATAGAAATCTGCATGCGCGGTCGGTTTCTGTCTTGCCACAGTGGATCTGTCAGAGTGGGAGGGGGCTTCATGTTGGAGCATGAGTCTGCGACCTTTCTTGCCGTCGCATGCAAGTTCCCATGGTCCCTTGCCGAGCCGAACAACATCTTAAAGATCCGCAGCGCTTCCCTCTCCAACCCCCTCGCCTTCCACGACTACTGCCCCTCGCCCTCCCCCCCCGCCCTCCCCCTCGCCCTCTCCTGCCCTCTCCCCCTCGCCTCCCTTGCCCTGTCATTGCCCCTCCTGGGGTCCTTCGCTTCGTCGCTCTCTCGCTCCTTCCCTTGATCCCCCCATCCTTCTGCGTCTCCACCTCGCTCTCTGCCTCACTCCCTCGCCATTACCTGCCCCGGCCCTTCCTCCCTCTCTGCCCCTTCCTGCTCCCCGCATGGCACGCGCACTGATGTCCCCCTACCCCTCGCCCCTCCTGACTCGTTTCCGCTTCCCTCCCTCGTCCTTTTCCCTCTCCTCCTTTTGAGGTTTTGCTGTTCCCAGAGGTCCCTGGAGGCCTCGTCCCTTTGATCTGGCTTCATCCCATTTAAGTTCGTTTCATCCCGCTGAATCCGGTTAGTCCCAGGCTTAATCCGGCTTGATGCAGCGCAGCGCCCCCTAATCAGGCTTAATAGTTTCTCATCGTTCTGACGCACTACCAGAAGTTACGTCCTACGTTTTGGGCCCCTCAGATAGGGCTTTGGCCTTCCCCAAAAAGCCCAACACCATCAAAAGCTGGGCTACCTTCTGTTCCCTTCGCCCTCCCTCCTCCCTCGCCTTCATTTCCCTCCGCCTCCCTCGCTGGAAGGCGCACTGATGCTGGCCCGCCCTCCTCGCGACGGCACTTGGCATGGCCGTGAGCAAGGACGCGCTCTGGCTGGTATAAGTTCCCAGCCGCCCCGCGGACAGGCGTCCGCGATGGCAGTCTTGCATAGCTGCTATCTCGAACGTAATCGCCAAGTTGAGATACGCCTGAAGGCGCTTTCACAATGTATGCGTATAGGTACGAGTATACCAATAAACGAGAAACTCCCACCCCCGTCCTCCTCCGTTCTCCAGCCTCTGGCCTCCCTTTGGCCTTCATCCTCATCATGCGAGGTCATCTCCGCGGGCTAGAGTCGGGCCAGTCTACAATGGGGGATGGGAAGGGGGAAGTGACGAAGACTGCTGCGCGCAGCTGGTTCGGACCCTGCCGCCTGGGACCCGACCCTTGTCGATGCATGGCCGCCTCCAGTGCTGGGAGGCGTCAGGAAAACAGTCCACGCGAGCTGATTCGCCAACCCCTCCTTCCCTATCCCCCCTTCTGTCCGACCCGTAACAGGTCAGCATCGTTTAGCCTGACCCCGCTGTCCAGCCTACCTGTTTAGGCGGGGATAGAGGCATTCTCCGTCGGTTTCGCGGCATCCATCCTCGAGGGGGTAGGCTGTCTGCGCTAAGGAACCCTGGCCCACCGAGGATGGGGATACGTTTGACGATGTTGAGCGAGGGGGGGCGGGGGAGAAGGTTCGAAAATTAGAGCCCAGCCTGACCCCACTAAGTCCGGCTTAGGCCTGCTGCATCTTGCGTGGCATTGGGCTTAATTTGGCCCAGTCCGGCTCAATGTTTCCCAACTCTGGCTCAATATCTCTGCCTCGTTCCCGCGAAGGCCTCCCAGCAGTTGCCTCCTGAACGGGGTGATTGGGACGAGAGGGAGCGGCAGCCTTCAAGAAGGGACGCGCCTCCGCCTCGCCAGTGGCCCAAGGCGGTCGCGGCCCTCCTCCGCGTCTGCGGGGAGGAGGGCGCGCAGAGCTCCGCGGGCCCCAGACACCCAGCGTCTTGAGAAAACGTCGAAGGTCGAGGTCCGAAGTTCGAGGCTTTCGGACATTTCGTAGCCTCCTGGAAAGTCTCAACCTCGGAATGCGTCTTAGGAGCTGCGCATAGCAGACAGCATTCTGCTGGTGCCTGGATCATTCAGAACGGCCGACGGCCGGCGGGCACCCCATCTTGGGGCCAAAGAGCCCAGACATCCAGCGCCTTGACGACGTACCGAAGCGCGAGGCTCCAAGTTCGAGATCCGGCCTTCTAAGAATCGGGCTCGACGAAGGGGGAATACATTAGACAAAGGGATGGCTACAAACCCGCCGCTGGGCGCACCGCTTGGCGCACTCCTCGATTCACTGGCGCCTCCAGCGCCAGGCTCCCTGGGGAAGCGAGCCACGTGAGCTGGTTCGCTGGCTCTCTCCTTTCTGCCCCCACCCTTTCTTCGGAGGGCACCAGCTACACACCTGCACCGATCCTGGGCCCAGGATGAGCCTGGCCAGGATCGGTGCCCTCCCACCTCTCGCCCGATCCGAGCGAAGGAGACGCTGATCTACTCGTACGTGTTCACCTTCGCCGTCCTCCTGGCGGTGATGACCAACACCTGCCAGTACTTCGCCAGGCGCGCGCGCGCGGCGCGAGCGGCCGCCCGTCCTCTCGCGCGGCCGCCTTTGTCGCCCTTGTCGCCTTTGCCGCCGCCGCCGCCGCAGTCGTCGTCGTCGTCGTCCTCCTCCTCCTCCTCCTCCTCCTCCTCCTCCTCCTCCGTTCGTCGTCTCTGTCCTTCGTTCGCCGTCGTCGTCCTTCATTCGTTCGGCGTCTTCGACTTCGCTCGTCGTTCTTCGCCGTCGTCGTTCTTTGTTCATGGTCTATCTTCTTCGTCGTCGCCCTTCGTTCGTTGTCCTTGTCATTGTCGTCATTCCTTCGTTCGTCGTCGTCGTCGTCGTTGTTCGCTCGTCGTCTTCGTTGTTGTCGTCATGGTCGTCGTCGTCGTTGTTCGCTTGTCGTCCGTCGTCATCGCCGTCGAGTTTCAGTCTCCGTCGTCGCCGCCATCGTAGTTGGGAACGCGCGCGCCCATATGCTGTCGCTGGACTACTCTCCCGTGTCCTCCCTCCCCCTTTTGCTTCCCGCCACCATGACACAGCGACACCAGATGGGCACATATTCTTGGCCATGGTTTGTTGGTGATCTGCTACGCCATATTCGACCAACGCTTCTGTTCCAATGTGGTGCTGCTTGTGATCAGTGACGGACACTCGTGAGGCAGACGGTCGCTATGCTTTTCTATGTTTTTGTAACGCGGGTGTGGTCTCCAATGTCGATCGTTACTGTTATTGGAGAGGCCTGACGGCCGGTGCCGCCGACCCTGATCGAAAGGGCTAGGAGTGGGGGGAGGAAGCGGAGGATGAGGAGGAGGAGGACGAGGAGGAGAAGGAGGAGGAGCAGGAGGAAGAGGAGGAGGAGGAGGATGAGGAGGAGGAGGAGGAGAAGGAGGAGGAGGGAGGAGAGAGGAGAGGAGGAAGGAGGAGGAGGAGAAGTGCATCCTTTGTGTGCCC